AATTCATTGTGGAATTCACTTTACTCACTTCTAGCAGTTGACTACTTCTACACGCCGCTGGCAAATCTTATATGTGTTGTTTGTGTTCTAAGTATTATCGTTCATTACTAACCTTCATTCGATTATTCTATTCAGTAACCTTTTCTAGGTTACAACAACTACGGACCATTTATTCTCCTTTTTCATAGTGACTGTAGAGAAACAACGTTCTCAATGTCTCTTGAATATGTTTTCCTTTTTTTTGGTTCATGTTATATTTCGTGCTAAGGGAATAAATACTTAACACCAGGTGGATAATAGAAGAAAGGTTTATTGTACACAACCAGTACAATATGAAATATGGTACAGTTATACACACAGGTCAATCTAGTAGTGAGTGCCACTAATTGGAAAGTCAGATGTGCTTGCGTCTTCTCTCTCTTCCTCAAGTCTCTCATAAACAGTTGACTTTATAGGTATTTACTACCTATAGTGTAATCATTCATAGAGGTGACTGGTTATTCCATTATATCAGTTCAGAAGTAAGTTGGGGTAAGAAAAGATAACAATCTTTAAAATGATCAAGCTCAAGTCAGCTTTGTGCAGAGTTGGAACAACCGGAGTAAAGTTTGTACTTATTTTATCAATGGAAAGTTTAAACATGGTTATGGGATGTCTATTTTTTTTTTCTTGGTCCAGAAGTTAGGGTAAAGCATTGTTACAATGCTTGCACTCAGGTCATCCTTGTGCTGAGTTGAAACAATCAAAGAGAAAGCATGACTTACTTCATAGGTGGAGTTTTTGAAAGACACAGATGAGTGTCATGCATTGAAAAATAGGAAGAGAATTCAGTTGTCAATTGATTGGGGAAACTAATGTTCCTCGGCATGAATGTAATTATCACATTGTGCTGTATGTTTATAGGAAGGGGAGAAAGAAGTGAAGCAGGAAAAGGTTTATCTTTTTATAGACTTAGCAAGTGCTGTCTGACGTCTTTGGACAAAACGATGTTTGGTAATCATATTTCCAGTTCCTTTACTCTTAGCATCATTGGAAAATGTATTTCCTTTTTTTTTATTATTCATTATTATTACTTTATTTATCGATTTTGTTTCATTTTCCCACAGTCCAAGTTTGCTAACAATACTATAACAATGTTTTTAGAAACCAAAAAATTAATGTGGGATATTTATTTTAATTTTTATAATTGATATCAGATTTCATATCTATCTATATCTCTGAGATGAGGTATTAGGATTACTTGCATTATCTACATTATTCAGACTGTTATCCTCATCTTCATTGCCATATTCATAACATTTTCTTGAGGACACATAGCCCAGTAGATAAAGATGTTGGTTAGATCCAGTGACTAGACCCTAAGAGTTGTGAGTTCAATACCAGGCCACAGCAGTGGTGAACCAAAACTTGAGGCGTGGCATGTGGAACTAGAACGATCTACTTCTGGTGGATGAAATAAAGAGTTTGGTTGGAAATTCCAATCACTGGAAGAAGGCCGGAGTGTGCAACAGCCTAAAGATTGTGAATATGGTAATGGAGATGAGGATAACAGTCTGAATAATGTAAATAATGCAAGTAACCAGATTTCATGATGGACATGAATGGGATAAATATCTGTATTGTTTTTTTGTTCAATAAATGATTTGTTAATATCTTACTTTTTTCCTTTTTTTCAGGTTTTTCACTTTAAAGTAATTGTGGAGAATCAAGCTTACAATTTCCTCCCAGCAGATGTGATACAGCAAATATTTTCCAATATTAAAAGTATTTATCAGTTTCATCACGATTTCATGTGGCCACAGCTAGAAAAAAGAATGAAGAATTGGTAAGTTTCTCTTTTCTCTTCAAACTTAACACTTTATTCAATCCATGGGGTGAGAGATTCTTCTCATTGAACTTCTCATGGTCAGAGGATATTTCATATCAGTTCTGTTATCATGTATATATCATAACATTTCTGTTGCTACAAGCCTTTTCATCTGTGAGGAGATTGTTCTGCATTCACTGTCATATAGGAGGACTGATATTAAACAACAGTCCAATAATCTTTTATTTGTTTCTAATTAAATTTTCCTGTTTCTTAATACTTTGCTTAGCTTTTTGAAGGCAACTTCACTATCCCAATGTGCCTTCAGATTTCAGTGTCGCACTTTCTGTGTAAAAAAAGGGAGAGTATTATGAAAGAAATAGGTGGTTGGAAATGAAGTTTATAAGGATAAGGAGGATAGATAACAGTCAAGAGATTATTATTGATTAGTATTTTTATTTAAAGATATAATTGAAAAAGGCAGTAGTGGGAAGTGAAGGTTATGAGGATAAGAAGGATGGATAACAATTGACACTTGACCTGAAGACATGAGGTTTATCAGGAACTGAAAAGTCCCTCACGTGAAATGTGACATGTCCTGTTTCTAAGGAATTCTCTAGCTAATGAAGAAAAAAGGTGTTTGTTTCTGAAAATATAGAAAATGTGTCACAAGTCCAGGAATGTAGGGTGACACTGGCTATCATTTTCTCTTTTAATTTACTTAGAGGCAATCATTGAACCATACAGTTCAATATCATCCGTTTCACCAAAATACCACATATTACACTTGTTCATATTTCAGTTCCTTTAATACCACAATTTCTCTATGAAATGTAAAACTAGAACCCAATCTACAGTTTTCCAGAGGGTTTGGGAATGATAAAAATTTCCAATATTTTTTTATACAATTGTTTTCTTTTTAAAGAGAGACTTTTTATACCTTTTTCTTATATACTAATTTGGCAATGCCATCTTGTCATCATTGGCTGAAGTTCTTTGTCAGACAAGTGGGGGTAACCCCACAATGATTCTCTTCTATTTCTTCTGTTTGAAACTACAAAGATTTTCTTCCCATTTAATGCCTGCATCCCTATAAGTAATAGTAGTGCTGGCCAAATGCTACGAGGACAAAAAGTAACAAAAATGTCTCTGTAAATTCTTGGCTTGTTAATAAAGAGTTTTCAGCATTGCTCTACCTAGAGTTTCTTTATTGAGCATGTTCGTTATATGGATGGCAGTGATTGGATAATGTAGAAATGCTGTTAGTTACATTAGCCAATACATTAATATTAAATTTCTTTGAAAAATCTTAAGAAAATTTGGATTTATTTTTGTCCTCAGTCATGTTGGGTTAGGGTTGCACAACATAAACATTTGATATTTACGTTTAACACAAAAACAACTTCCTGTTTGAACTTACTGGTGTGTATGAATTTCAATGTTTATAATTAAACTGAAATCAAAGTAGAGGCTAAGATGTAAAAAAAAAAAAAAGTGAAAAGTCTGAACATTAGACAGACAACACCTTGCCATTCATTATAAAAAGAATGTGGGGTCAGAAACATGCCATGGAACATGCAATAAAAGCCTGTTGAGTGGGAAGTTTCTGGAAATACACCTCACTCAAACAAAAGTGTGATTCTCTACATTAAAAATAGACTTTAAGACGAATTATAAAGGTTGATAAGCTGTAAAAAAGCAAAATTAATCAAAGGTAGAGTTGTACAATAAACACTAAGCAGAAATAATCAATGTTTTCAAATTTTCTTTTTCATATCACAATATAAAAGCACTCCAGATCAAGAATAACATTTTATTGTAAAAGTTAATAGGGGGTCCAGTTTGCCATGTAAATTCATTTTAAATTGATCCCACTATAGAAGCAAAGCAAATATGTCGATACAATGTGATTTCTTAAAATGTAAAAAAGTAAATTTTGTTTTTTAATCTGGCTTATGTCAGAGTGTATCCCCCAGATGAGGCTCTGCCGAAGAGAAGAGTCTCGACTCGGGAAACTGACTCTGTTTTTTTACGTGGTCTATGGAGAATTTTCGCCCCACCCTACAGGCTCAGATACTTCACTTTAAACTCGGCCTTGTGCCACATCTTGCTGCATGGGGCAGTGGGTAAATAATTATAATATGATGTGCTTAATCGATAGCAGTATATAAAAAAACAGAACCCCAGATCATGAATTTCAAATTTCTATTACTGTGTACGTGAGTATAGTGCAAATTTTTCTGATTAGTTTTTATGTAAAAAATAGGGTTTTGCACAGTACACAGATAATTTTTCTTTGAAGAGGTTAAAAATCATGCATTTTCATTTTTCAGTGACTGGTTGCACTTTTAAAAAGGTATATTTCACTGACTGGTTTCATTTATATTCAGGTATATTTTTCTGGTGGCTTTAAAATTCATGCCAAAAAGTTCAGGGATCGCACTATACATGATGTAAGCTTATACACGAGTATATACGGTATTAGTATTATTTTATATTGTAAGCCGTCACATTGTGCGAGTATATTTGTTTTGGTTTCTGTACTAGACAGAATTTATGCTTGTCAGTAAAAGGAACAGCACAAGATACAAACTAGAAACTGGAGAGACCAAGCAAGTACAAAAATGTAAATATCTAGGAAGTGTTTTAACACCAATATCCAAAAAAGTCATACTGAAATAACAAAAGATATCTTTCAAAATCTAAGCAAAGTATTAAGAAACAAGAAAATTTCATATTGATCCTCCTCTATGGCAGTGAATGCTGGACAATCTCCTCAAAGATGAAGAAGAGACTTCAGGCAACAGAAATGTGGTTTTACAGAAGGATGCAGAGGATACCATGGACTGAACATGTCTGTAACAATTGTGTTTTTAAGGAAATAAAAAAAGGACACAGTTAAAATCAGAAACACTTAATTGAAATTTCTAGAGCACATAATGAGGAAAGAGGGCTTAGGGAATTTGATACTCACAAGATATATTGAAACAAAGAAGGACAGAGGGAAACAACAACTAACTTAAGAAGTGTGTATTGGCAGGATTGGGTTTTGGAGAGATAGCAAAGGGGCAAACCTAGGTATAAAGGACGGGAAGTTGTGGAGAACCATGATCGCCCATGTTGTGAAGGGACACATCACATTAAAGAGAAAGGAGGATCACTTTATATAGGAAACGGTACTCACAACTTGGAGTTTCTCTCATAATTTTTGGTTCTTTCCTTCTCTTTTCTTTTTCCCCACTTCAATCATTTATTTCCTTTTTTTTCTTCTTTCACTCTTTTCTCTCAAATTGTTTTTTCTTTTCCCCTCCTCCTCACAATTTTCATTTTCTCTCTCAGTGTTTCTTTCTTTTCCCCTCCTCCTCCTCCTCACAATTTTCATTTTCTCTCTGTGTTTCTTTCTTTTCCCCTCCTCCTCCTCACAATTTTCATTTTCTCTCTCAGTGTTTCTTTCTTTTCCCCTCCTCCTCCTCACAATTTTCATTTTCTCTCTCAGTGTTTCTTTCTTTTCCCCTCCTCCTCACAATTTTCATTTTCTCTCTCAGTGTTTCTTTCTTTTCCTCTCACTTATTTTTCTTCATTTGGTATGCTATAATAATTAACAAGCTTACTTTGCTAGATCAATTACAACTGAGTAGCAAGTTTGATTCTCACTATCACACTTGGAAAATCACCACTTTTTTTCTTCATCTTTTTCACTTCTCTTATTTTTACAATAAAAAAATCAAAAACCGTGAAACACAAGTACTCAAGCTGGAGTTTGGGAAGAAGAAAAAAAAAAGTGACCCCACCCTGACTCTGCTGCCTTTCCTTTTTTTTTTTAATGTCAACTCTTCTCTTCCCTTAACTTTTTCGCCACTTAACCTTTGCCTTTCTTTTTCCCTATTTTTTTTTTGTCTCCTATTCGCATGCTTTATTCCCTTCCCTTGTCAGTGGTAATTCATTCTTTTTTTTTTTTATTGAGGATTTCTTCTCTTCCTTTTAGACACTTTCTCTCATGATGAGGCCAATAATAAATCATTTCATTACAAATACAGGAAAAGTGAACTGAACCCATTTGATGACCTAAACGGAAATGGATGTCTTTGGTGTTAGTGATAGTTGATTTTTATTTTATTTTTTTTTTCAGACGAAAGCGTTTCCTGTCTTAAAGGAAGGTGCCATGACGTCTCACAAATTATCCAATATACAATCTGGACAAACTGACACACCTATATTTTAACTTTGAGACAGTGACAATAGGAAATCATTATTTTAATTGCTTTGTTTTCATAATGGATGCAAATTTAGTGTTGAATATTATTACCGACGTGTGGCTGTCCAGCAAGACTACATTGTAGTTCAATATTTGTATTATGGAGGAGAAAACCTTTTCTTTATTCCAGCTGAGTCATCTATGAAGCACTTTGACATAGTGTAATGGTTAGCAAGCTTGTCTTGCTAGAGATTAATTACAACTGAGTGTGAGTTCGATCCTCACTGGTTGACTCATAGTTTGCCTTATGTCACATTTAAGCTATGCTTAGAAAATCACCATCTTAGCTGAGTCATCCAATAACAAACATTTTAAAACTATTTGTGAACATTGAATGAAAAAATACACATTAAGTAAATTATGAGACCAAATGAAAACTGTTTTGTTTAATAATTAAAATTAAAAATAAAATAAATGCTTTTTAGTATCTGTCTATATTTCTGAAATGAGGTATTATGTACACTATTTACATTATTTGGACTATGGTCATCATCTTTGTTGCCATATTCATCACAACGTTTCGGCCATTCTATGGTCCGGCCTTCTTCATGTGGTTGGAATGTCGAACTGAACCCTTTATTTTGCTCGCTGGAGTAGACTGTTCTAATTTGTTCCCTTAAGGTAAGGCTTCAAGAACACCAAAAAGCTGTAACATGAGGGGAAGTGATAAAATCAGGTGTGGCTGACCACATATGAAGAGAAAAGGGAGATTAATGTCCTCTGTGGGATCAGGTTGAAATCATAGACAAAGAAGATCATTGGAAAATTCGTAAACTTAAGGAATCAGCACATGTGTTAGGCCACAAAAATCTCCTGAGCTGACCAAGCATAGAAATGAATACAATATGGGAACCAGTAATAAGGAGAGCCAGAGAAAAGCAATAATAACAACAAAAATTGCAATATGAGCTCTGGTAAAAAACATGCAATGATAACAGCAAAAATTGCAATATGAGCACTGGTAAAAATGGTTGCTGAAGACATTAAGTTTATAAATCCGAGAAATTCGTACACAGATGTGTTTAAGGACATGGCACAGTGGATAAAAGTGTTGGTTAGATCCAGTGACAGGACCCAAAAGGTTGTGAGTTCAATACCTGGTTAAGGCGGTGGAGAACTTGGAGAGGTGAAGTAACAGGAGATAACTGATAACTGACATCCATTAGACATGGCACGTGGAACTAGAACAGTCTACCCCAGCGAGCTTTGAAATTGAAGAATGCTGGAGTGTACAATGGCCATAACATTGTGATAAATATGGCAACAAAGATGAGGATGATAGTCTGAATAATGTAAATAGTGTAAATGCTTTTTACAGTGATAAAAATTCTCATTATGTACCAAGAGCTGTTGTAGAGAACTATTTTAGATGAAATGTCAAATTTTTAGGGTTGATGTTTTTTTTGTTTTCTGAAAGTAGAATTGGTATGTAGAGTTAAAATTTCTGACAAGTTTGTTAAATTTATTTTCATATGAATCTCTCTTGGGAAAAGGTATGAATCGTTCTCTTCTACCCCCACCTCCGCTATGGATTAAATAGTAGAGCAGTCTGTGCCCTCTAGAAGTAGGACAACACTGAATTAAAAAATATGGTTGACCTGGAAAATACAGAAATAAATCTATATTTAATCAGAAAAGATAAGAAACTTCCACTTCTGACATTACACAAGAAGCAGGCGTGTACTAAATAGAAAGTAAATAATGCCCTCAAAATATATTGGTGAAAGATCCTGAAATTCAAAGGAAAGGATATTCAAACTTTAATGGAACATGAAATTATACAAATATCAGCTGAATTGAAAAATATCAAAACATAATTTCTTTTGTCTTGTATATTTGCCTATCTATCTATCTATCTTATATATATATTTTTTTTTTTTTTTTTTAAGCATTGTGCCCCAAGCAAGGCGTGAAGCCACTAGGATGCAGGGGTTTGGAAGCGAGCAGATAAGGTAATAGGAGAAAGGAAGAGGAGAAGGATAGTGGGTAGATCAAGGTAATTGGAGATGTCGATTGACATTACATTTGAATAGTTGGAGATTATAGCTTTCAGGAAACAGTAATTGGGGAGGGTGTTCCACTGGCGAGAGGTCGAAGGTATGAAGCTATTGGAGTAGAAGATGGCTACATTTGAAGGTTTCTGATTGTAAGGGTGAGGCGGGATGCCAGCCTCGTCAGGGCGCTTGAATTCATGGAGTCTGGGAACCATAGAGAGCAGCTCATCAATGTGTGTGTGTGTGTTGTTTTAAATTTTGTATATTTATAATTTCTATGCTCACATTATATTAGTCCTGGGTTGGACAATAAACTACATCTGGCAGCAAGGCCGCTGATCATCAGATTGGAGGTTTTGACAAGTAAGAACCACCTCTTAATTGCTGTTGTTCCCACGTTCACTCTGACCTAGGGTGGTAGTACCTGTTAGGGTCCCAGCTATGGGCAAATAGTGAACCCTAAAACCAAGACAAAACACTATGAAAGTATAAAAATATATTTTTATTGTAAAAATACAAGCAATACATTTTTATATAAAAAATTTATCAAAAATACCTGTTTATAGTAAAATAAGCAACAATAGGTTTTTAAAGCAAAATGATCAGCAATACATTTTATCACAGTGTTGGGGAGTAAATAAGAAGGAAAAAAAAAACAGATTTTCTTTAAATGTGGAAGAATTATTTGCCCAAGTGATAAAAAAAAAAACAGCATCAATGACAAAATTTAATTGAAATAATATGGAAGAAAATGGAAAATTCCCCAAGTTCTTTCACTCCCAATGTGCTGGCAAATGCCCTAACTGAGTTCAGTTCACATACAGTTCAGATAATGGAATTACCTTTCTGCTTATTTTAGAAGATACAAGCAAATTTTCAGAGAAGAACGACTGGGAAGATGAGAAAAAAAACCAAAAAAACAAGACTTTTGTTACTAAAGTTAGCTCTGGTACAACATGAAAACACTAATTTTCTACTACCAAAAAAACTGAAAGAGAAATTTACTTTGAAGAAATAGTAAATATTCTGACTAAAATTTTTAGCGAGGAAATTTGTTATTCAATACTTGTTGGAAGTGTATGAATCTGATAAAAAACAAAAGACAAAGATTTTGTCATATATGCTGGAATCATTAACAAAGAGTGTGAAAGATTCAAATTAAATGAACTGAATTCAGATATATTTAAAGGATTTTTTTGTTCATGAATTCACATAAAAAAAAAGACACAGAAATACGTACTAGAGTTCTAATGAAACTTGAACAATGAAAAATTAACATTACAAGAAATATCGAATGAATGTCAGAGAATGATAAATCTATGATATGATATGGAAGAAATTGAAGAAAAAGAATCTGTATACATATATAATATGTCTATATTATTCAATGTAACATTTTCGAATGAAGATATGCTGCCTAAATAATACACACACACGCATATATATAAATATATATATATATATATAGTATTAATTTAATGCCTGTTTCTGAAGCCAAAATTGATGTTTTTTCAGTGGTCTGCTGATAAGGAGACATTTAAGGCAAGCAGGCTTTGTGGGAGAGTGCTCAATATCGAGGATATAGATAGAGAGTTAATAGGATTAATGAATTTTTTTTTTCACTTCATGTTTATTTCGATGTTTCATGCTTCGGTATGAGCACTCGTCAGAACACAGTGTAATGAGTGCTTTTACCTAAGAATGAAACTTCGAAGTAAACATGAGTTAAGTTAAAAAACTTTATTTTAATTTGAATTCTTATATATATATATATATATATATATATATATATATATATAAATTTATATATATATATATATATATATATATATATATATATATATATATATATATATATATATATATATATATATATATATATATATATATATATATATATAATATATATATATATATATATATATATATATATATATAATTTATTTATATATATATATATAGTACAGGTAATCAATCCGTTGGTATATAAATCCTAACCATAAATAAACTCCGAACACAGACTGCTTCCCTTGAGATAAGATACCTCATGCCCCCACCAAATGACAACACATCCCACCCCCATTAACAAGGTGCCTACCGGAGACTGGCTTTAAAAATTACATAAACAAGCGCTCCGAAGACAAGTACTTAGTGGCTGATGAAAGTCATTAAGTGACATTTTGAAATTGTCTATTCCGATGTTGAGGTAATTTTTGTTTATTTATATATATATATATATATATTAGTAAAATTCTAAAATGAAATGATAATAGTATTGCATATATGCAGTTTCAAGTTCTTAAGGAATGTCAAGTTTATGGCCTTTTAAGCTTCG